AGACCCGTACGGCCTCCAGGCAACGGGCCATCACGTCAAGGGCATCGTTGGGGTGGCCTGGGGTGGAAATGTACAGCTGAGTATCATCAGCGTACTGATGGAAATCCACCCCAAAGCCACGAATGATCTCCCCCAGCGGCTTTACATAAATATTGAACAAAAGGGGAGAGAGGACCGACCCCTGAGGGACCCCACAAATTAGGGGTCTAGGAGTTGACCTCTGTCCCCCTGCCAATACAGACTGCGTACGGTCGGTGAGGAAGGAGGAGAACCACCGCATAACGGTGCCTCCGACTCCCAACTCACCGAGACGCCGCAGTTGAGTCCAACATGGCTGTTGCTAAGGGAGACATTTGTTAAGTGAGTTTTGCCCTATTTTACAACCTTTCCTGCTACAGTTGTTAAGAGAATCCCTGTAGTTGTTAAGTTAGTCACATGGTTGTTAAGGAAATCTAGCTTCCCCATTGACTTTGCTTTCAGAAGGTCACAAAAGGGGATCATGTGACACCCCCCCCAAGACACTGCAACCGTCATACATATGAGTCAGTTGCCAGGCGTCTGAATTCTATTCACGTGATCAGGGGGATGCTGCAGTGGTCATTTTAACTTCAAACAGTCACTAGACGAACGGTTGTAAGTCGAGGACTACCTGTAATATAAATTGTCATCTGCATATATTTTCCTAAGCCATTGCATGGAAACAGTTGACTATGATGCTGTTGTGGTTTTGAATTTCCAGTTTGGTGCTTTGACAAGTTTCAAGGCAGTGATCAGGTGCCCCGGCAATTGGATTTTTTTGGGGGGGGGCAGGGGGGGTGGATCCAGAGACAATGAACTCACCAGTAACTAAAGGGATTTTAAGCTTTATTACTGTAATAGCTGAAACAATCTGTAGATCTCTATGTATCAGTCAAAGCAACTGTATGTTTCCCTGACCAACAACCACACAATTTGCAAGAACTGCATTTTAGGGCAGAAAGTCAACAAAGACTTCCAAGAGGGATAAAATCAAGAAAGGAAAATAGGTAAGAGAAAACTGGTCTAGTGGCTAACACATAGGGTTAGAAAGTAAGAGACTGAGTTCAAGTCCTGCCTTAGCCATGAAAGCTGGCTGGGTGACTTTGGGCCAATCGCCAGGAGAAGGTGAGTTCTAGTTTTGCCTTAGGCATGAAAGCCGGTTGGGTGACTTTGGCCAATCTCTTTAGAAGATAATGAATTCTAATCCCACTTTAGGTATGAAAGCCAACAGGGAGACTTTAGGTCAATCTCCAGGAGACGGTGAGTTCTAGTCCTGCCTTAGGCCTGAAAACCAGCTGGGTGACTTGAGTCACTCCCTCTCTCTCAGTCCATCCCACCTCACAGGATTGTTGTGGGGAAAGTACTAGTAGTAGGAAGACATGTTGGATATGTTTGCTGCCTTGCGTTATTTGTAAAAAGAATAAAGGCAGAATACAAATGAATGAATGAATGAATGTATACATACATACATAAAGCTGAGTCTTGATTGAAACACACGATTTATCTCCTCCTTGAGCAGGGGGTTGGTCTAGAAGGCCTCCAGGGCCCCTTCCAACTCTGTTATTCTGTTATTCCTCACCCCAGAGCCTGCAGAGGTCTTTTTCGGCAAGGAGAAAGTCCAGAAAGAAATCAGAGCTATTCTTTCCGAAAACGCCTTTCTCAGCTGCGAAGTAGCCCAGCCCACGATGGAAGTGAGATGGTTCAAGGATGGGAAACTCATCACCCCTAATAAGAAATTCAAGATTGAAACAGAAGGGAAATCTCGCTGGCTGATTATCCGACAAGTGGACAGGAAGGACGGAGGTCAATACACCTGCGAAGCAGATGGCCAGAAACTGGCCTTCAAAGTGATTGTAACAGGTAAAAATCTTGATTTTCCTGTGGTACTGTGAATATAAGTAGTCCTTGACTTACAACAGTTCGTTCAGTGACTGTTCGAAGTTACAACATTACTAAAAAAATGACTGCTTATGATCGTTTTTAATACTTACGACCATTGCACTATGGTCATGTGATCAAAATTCAGATGTTTGGCAGTTGGCATATATTTATGATGATCGCAGTGTCCCGGGGTCAGATGATTCCCTTTTGCGACCTCCTGCCAAGCAAAGTCAATGGGGAAACCAGATTTACTTAACAACTGGGTGACTAACTTAACAACTGCAGTGATTCACTTAACAACTGTGGCAAGAAAAATCATAAAGTGGGGCAAAATTCACTTAACTGTCTAGCTTAGCAATGCAAATGTTGGACTCAATTGTGGTCGTAAGTTGAGGACTACTAATATATTGTGATTCAGATATTAAGGAGAACTTCTGCAAGATGAGAAAAATAGAGATGACTGTATCTTACAGGCCCTAGAAAACAGAAATTACCCTAACGTTTTCTAAATTTCATGATTTTAGACAATCAGAAGCTGAGGTATTTGCCAAAGAGACAAACATCTAGATGTAGGATGACCTATCTTAGCTAGTATAGAATATGTCGATTGGACCTTCTTGAAACTCAGAACTTTACTTTTAAATGAAAATGACCAAATGTCCTAAAGAGAAAATGAATTAAGATGTTTTGTCCATTCCTTCCACTATTAGATAGAGAGGTTGAGGAGATATTTGTCAACCAGAAGATGATCCAGAAGGACATCAAGAGTGTGGCTTCAGAGACCCTCTCTCTAACCTGCGAGGTGGCCCAAGCTAAGACAGACGTCAAATGGTTCAAAGATGGGAAGCTGATCACTGACACCAAGAAGTTCAAAGTAGAAGAACAAGGTGGATCCCGTTGTCTGGTTGTTCAACAGGTGGAGAAGAAAGATGCAGGTGAATATACCTGCGAAGCCGATGGCCAGAAGCTCACCTTCAAAGTCACGGTGGCAGGTACAACCACTTTTATATTCTCTATATCTCCCATAGAGTTAAAAATGGTCAAATCAATCCCTTTTTGGTTGATTGTTCAGAGGAGCACTCAGAAGCTGTAACAGAACAGATTCAAGGTACATCAATATGAAAGTTTGCTTCTGCAAACAGTTTTATTTATGTAGGATGAAATTTGGTGGTACTTCAACACCACCGTAAAATTTGATCAACGTTAGACAACAGTAAAAACATGAGAACTGTAATTAAATATGGATGGTGTTCATCTTCTAAATAATGTTTTAATAATCTGGATTGTTTGGTTGAGGGCTCAGATCTTCAGGAGGAGTTTGACAACAAAGAACATCCATATGGATGATGATCACACTTTATGGACCATGAGATGTATAGAGGATAGCTCCTTCCTGAAGTTCCTTACTTTAACTTTTAAGGGAAAAGACAAAACCTCCCAAAATAAAATGTGAATAAATGTGTCTTATCTTCTGCTTCTAGATGAAAAAGTTAAGGAAATCTTTGTCAACAAGGAGAAGGTCCAGAAGGACATCAAAGCTGTAGTTTCAGAAAATATCTCTCTCAGCTGTGAGGTGGCCCAGGCCAAGACAGATGTCAAGTGGTTCAAGGATGGAAAATTGATTACCTCCAACAAGAAATTCAAGGTAGAAGCAGAAGACAGATCCCATCATCTGGTTGTTCAACAGGTGGAGAAGAAAGATGCAGGTGAATACACCTGTGAAGCAGATGGCCAGATGCTGAACTTCCAAGTAACCATAACAGGTAGGGAAAAAACCTCTTAGTCTTCTCATTCATCATCATATTTCCAGACTTAAGTAGCAAATCTTTCTACGCTGAAAGAAATTAATAGATATTTTTAATGTTTTGATCTATCACAAATAGATTTGCTTCTGGGTCCAATTCAAGGTGCTGGTTGTCACCTTCAAAACCTACATGGCTTAAGGCCAGGTTATCTGAAGGACTGTCTTTTCCCAGTGACATCTACCTGATCCACAGAGCAGGGAGGCAGGAGAAGTTATGGGTTCTCTCTCTTAAGAAGGTCCATCTGGTGGGACATAGAAGAAGGGCCTTCTCCGTGGTGGCTTCCTCCCTGTTAGTTGAAGGACCATTTTATTCACTTATATCTACCTGACCCACCAGAGCAAGGAGGGTTAATGGAAAGTACCAACTGCCATTAGAATGAAGCAATTAATGAAAAAATCTGCCTCTCTCCTTCCCTCACCAGATAAAGAAGTTGAGGAGATGTTTGTCAACAAGGAGAAGGTCCAGAAGGAGATCAAGGCCATGGCTTCAGAGGACGTCTCTCTCAGCTGTGAGGTGGCCCAGGCCAAGACAGATGTCAAGTGGTTCAAGGATGGAAAATTGATCACCTCCAACAAGAAATTCAAGTTGGTAGCAGAAGGCAGATCCCGGCGTCTGGTGGTCCAACAGGTGGAGAAGAAAGATGGAGGCGAATACACCTGTGAAGCCGATGGCCAGAAACTCACCTTCACAGTAACTGTAGCAGGTAGGAGAAGATGTTGCCTTTTGAATTATTTATTATCCTATTTCAGGATACAAACATAGTCAGGGTGTCATCACATTGGCAAAAATAAATAGTTTTTTTTGGATTGCAGAAACTGTACCCAGGAACTTTTTTTATTATTATTAACATCAGCCATTGTTATCTAAAATGACTACTGTCTAAGTTGGATCTCCTTCAAGCTCAAAACTTTAGCTTGAAAAGGAAAAGACCAAATTGATCTAAAGAGAAAGTGAATTAAGTGCTTTGTCCATTTCTTCTACCATTAGAGAGAAAAGTTGAGGAAATGTTTGCCAACAAGGAGAAGGTCCAGAAGGACATCAAGGCTGTAGCCTCAGAGAACGTCTCTCTCAGCTGCGAGGTGGCCCAGGCCAAAATGGACGTCAAGTGGTTCAAGGATGGGAAACTGATCACTTCCAGCAAGAAATTCAAGGTAGAAGCCGAAGGCCATTCCCGGCGTTTGGTTATCCAACAGGTGGAGAAGAAAGATGGAGGTGAATACACCTGCGAAGCTGATGGCCAGAAGCTCACCTTCAAAATCAAGGTTGCAGGTACAATCACTTTTACATTTTCTACATCTTCTGATTGTTGTTGTTAATTGCGAAGTTGTGTCCGACCCATCGCGATATAGGAAGATAAAATGGACCTAAGAATATTTTTTTAGTTGATCATCTCTCAGAGGCTCCATTGGAACGTTAGTCCTCGAGTTATGACCACTATTTGGGCCAGAATTTCCATTTCTAAGCAAGGGGGTTGTTAAGTGAGCCTTGCCCAATTTTACAACCTTTTTTTGCCACAGCTCTTAAGCAGTTGTTAAATGAATCACATGGTCATTAAGTGAATCCAGTTTCCCCTGTTACATTTGCTTGTCAGAAGACAGCTGGGAAGGTCACAAATGGTGATCACATGACCCCAAAATGTTGCAATGGTGACAAATACATGCCAGTTGCCAAGAGCTCAAATTTTGTTCACCTGATCATGGGTATGCTGCAATGGTTGTAAGTGCGAGGACTGGTTACAAATCACTTTTTCCAATGATGTTCTAATCTCAAATGGTGGCTAAATGAACAGATGTAAGTCAAGGATCACTGGTAATTGGAAATCTATTTTGACACAATGGCAAATTGCCTCAGTATTAAACAAAAATAGACTTGCTAGTGCAAGAATTATTTTAATCTTGTAAGCAATGCTTTAACTTTTTTGGTTTGGTTTTTATTGGTCAAGATTGAGAAACTGAAGTGGTCTTAACCAAGAAGGCAAAAATCTACATTCAGAATAATTATATTTTATAAGTCTTGGGTTGTGCAGATAGTCCTTCGTTTAGTGACCATTGAAAGTTACAAAGACACTGAAAAAAGTGAATTATGACTGTTTTTGATACATATGACCATAGCAACAGACTCATATTTATGACGATTGCAATGTGCTGGGTTCATGTGATCCCCTTTTGCGACCTCCTCACAAGCAAATCAGTTGGGAAGCCAGATTCACTTAACAACCATGTTATTAACTTAACAACTGCTCTGATTCACTTAACAACTGTGGCAAGAATGGTCGTAAAATGGAGCAAAATTAACTTAACACCTGTCCTGCTTAACAATGGAAATTTTGGGCTCACTTGTGATCATAAGTCAAGGACTATCTGTGTAGACTATCCAGTATGGATTTTCCTGACATCACTTTAGCAATTAGGGGAAATGACAAAATAGCCTAAGAAAGTGAATGAATGCATGTTGTCCTCTCCTTCCAGACAAGTTGAGGAGTTGTTTGCCAACAAGGAGAAGGTCCAGAAGGACATCAGGGTTAGACTAAAGAAGGTTTTTTAGATCCTTAAATCCTAAACATGGATATATATACTCCCAGAAGCAGGAAGCTGAAGACACCAGCCTGAAGATGACGAATGTGACTTCGTCGAAACGTCGCCAGGACACTTCCAATTTTACGCGGGAGAGAACCCGAATGACCAAAGACCTACACACACACACACACACACACAGGAAAGAAACAGGCAGGCTGGCAGGGAGGAAGAGGTTGGCATGGAAAAGAATGGAAGGAAGGAAGAAAAAGGGGGGAGGAAGGATGAATCCAACTGGCCCGGAGGAGCGGGGAGTGATAGAGATAAAATGCGAGGGGGCAAAAGAGGCGTGGGGGATATGATCGTAGGAAGGGAGAGGAAGACCCGTGGGAGCGGCNGTCCAGGGGCCGTGTGCAGACCAAGTTCGAACTATAAAACTCTCCCATAGACTGACCGTTTAAGCCCTGATGATGTCAGCAGAATGCTGACGAAAGCTTGGCGTTTGGTACTGTAACATTAAACTCCTAGAGTTTGATTATTTTACCCTGGTGTTCGTTTTATTTTATTTGTTTGGCATATATATATATATATATATGATGTTAGCCACTAGGCCACAGGCTCTTTCTCACTTTGTTAGCTACAAGAGACAGGGGAAGAGGATGAATGCTTTTTTTCTTATATTTGCCTTTAAAAGTAACGTTTTAATTTTTTTGTTTTGGTCTTGGTCAAGATCCAGAAGTTGAGGTGGCATTTGCCAGTGAGGCAAACACCTAAAAGTAGGATGAACTGTCTTAAATGGCATAGAATATGTAGGTTGAAGCTCAGAACCTTAAGGAAGGAAAATGACAAAATGTCCTGATGAGAAAGTGAATTAAGAGGTTTTGAACCTTCCTTCCGCTATTAGATAGAGAAACCGAGGAGATGTTTGTTAACAAGGAGAAAGTCCAGAAGGAGATCAAGGCCGTGGCTTCAGAGGACGTCTCTCTCAGCTGTGAGGTGGCCCAGGCCAAGACAGATGTCAAGTGGTTGAAGGATGGGAAATTGATCACTTCCAGCAAGAAATTCAAGGTGGAAGCTGAAGGTAGATCCCGGCATCTGATTGTTCAACAGGTGGAGAAGAAAGATGGAGGCGAATACACCTGTGATGCCGATGGCCAGAAACTCACCTTCAAAGTCACAATTGCAGGTACAAACACTGGGCGCTATCTAACAAAATGAAATTTAATGGTGAAAAAAGTAAGGTTCTACATTTAGGCAAGAAAAACCAAATGTACAGGTATAGTATAGGGGGTACCTTGCTCAGTAGTAGTAACTGTGAGAGGGATCTCGGAGTCCTAGTGGACAATCACCTAAATAGGAGCCAGCCGTGTGCTGCAGCTGCCAAAAAAGCCAACACAGTGCTAGGCTGCATTAACAGAGGGATAGAATCAAGACCACATGAAGTATTAATACCACTTTACAAGGCCTTGGTAAGGCCACACTTGGAATACTGCATCCAGTTTTGGTCACCATGATGTAAAAAAGATGTTGAGACTCTAGAAAGAGTACAGAGAAGAGCAACAAAGATGATTAGGGGATTGGAGGTTAAAACATATAAGGAAAGGTTGCTGGAATTGGGTATGTCTAGTTTAACGAAGAGAAGGATGAGGGGGGACATGATAGCAGTGTTCCAATATCTCAGGGGCTGCCCCAAAGAAGAGGGAGTCAAGCTATTCTCCAAAGCGCCTGAAGGCAGGACAAGAAGCAACGGGTGGAAACTAACCAAGGAGAGAAGCAACCCAGAACTAAGGAGAAACTTCCTGACAGTGAGAACAATTAACCAGTGGAACAACCTGCCTCCAGAAGTGGTGAATGCTCCAACACTGGAAGTTTTTAAGAAGAGACTGGATAGCCATTTGTATGAAATGGTGTAGGGTTTCCTGCCTGAGCAGGGGGTTGGACTAGATGACCTCCAAGGTCCCTCCAACTTTATTATTATTATTATTATTATTATTATTATTATTATTATTATTATTATTATTATTATTATTATTATTATTATTATTATTATTATTATTATTATTATTATTATTATTATTATTATATGTATAGAGATAAAAATGACCAAACCAATTTTATTTTTTATTGATTGTTCAAAAGAGCTCTAACAGAACAGCCTCAACCTGTGTCCACACTAATGTATGTTTCTACAAATAGTTTTCCTTGTGCAAGAATATACAGGTAGTCCTTCACTTACAACAATTCATTTAGTGACCATTTGAAATTAGAACGGCCCTGAAAAAAGTCACTTAGGACTGTTTTTACAACTATTGTGGCATCCCCATAGTCACGTGATCAAAATTCAGATGCTTGGCAACTGATTCCTTTTTATGACAGTTGCAGTGTCCTAGAGTCATGTGATCACCTTTTGTGAGTTTCTTACAAGCAATGTTAATTTGGAAGCCAGAATCACTTAACAACTATATTACTAACTTAACAATTGCAGTGATTCTCTTAACAACTGTGGCAAGAAAGGTCATAAAATGGGACAAAATTCACTTAACAACTGTCTTGCTGAGCAAGAAAAATTTTGGCCTCAAATGTGAGTGTAAATCGAGGACTACCTGTATTTTTGTTTTATTCTTCCTATTACATGTAGGTGGACATGTGTTCAAAATTTGAACACAACGGACAAATTTCATCAGTGTCAGGTAGCCCTAAAATCATTAGAAAAAAAGCTGAGTAAGAATTCTGTTAACTTCTAAATCCTGTTTTAAATTTCTTTGATCGCTTCATCATGTTTTCTATGTCATGCTCCAGTAGTTGAGGAGACGTTGGTCGACAAGGAGAAGATCCAGAAGACATCAATGTTAAACTAAAGAAGGATACTTGGAGCAGTAACTAAATATGCTTTTTTTTAAACTTCAAAAGTTTTTTTTTTTGTCTTGGTCAAGATTTGGAAGCTGGTGTTTGTCAAGGAGACAAACATCCAGATGTAGGATGACCTATTTTAGATGGTATATAGAATATGTAAATTGGACCTTTGTGAAGCTTAGAACTTTAGCTGTAAAGGAATATGAGAAAATATCTTAAAGAGAAAGTGAATTAAGATGCTTTCTCCATGCCTTCCACTATTAGATAGAGAAGCTGAGGAGACATTTGTCAACAAGGAGAAGATCCAGAAGGACATCAAGACTATTCCTTCAGAGAACGTCTCTCTCAGTTGTGAGGTGGCCCAGGCCAAGACAGAAGTGAAGTGGTTCAAGGATGGGAAACTGGTCACCTCCAACAAGAAATTCAAGGTGGAAGCTGAAGGCAGATCCCGGCGTCTGGTTATTCAACAGGTGGAGAAGAAAGATGGAGGCGAATACATCTGTGAAGCCGATAGTCAAAAACTTACTTTCAAAGTCGCAGTTGCAGGTGCGAACAACTTTATGTTTTCCTTTACATCTTCCTAAATGTGAAGATAAAGGTGGTCAAAAAAATCGTATTTTTTTGCTGATTGTTCCATTGAGTCCTAAGAGAACAGTTAGGTCAATGCAAAGATTTGTTTCTAAAAAGAGTTTTAATTAGCACAGTGCTATAGATCTATTATGCATAATACATATAGCTGCTAGGAATCTAGCAGATGTTGAATCTAGCAGCAAAATTTAATCAGTGTTGAACATCAAAAGAAATAATAAATATAGTTGAATAAGCTGAACTGCAACTGAACGATCTCTTGATTAAAACAATATTTTAATGAAAGAACTATGAAGGAGAAAACATCTCTCCCACGCTAACTGACAGGAAAAGCCAAATCCCCCTCCCTTCTAGCCCTGACGGTGTTATGTAGTTTGCTTATGAAATGTCTGCAAAAAAACCACCAAGCTCAGACAGCACCAAGGACCCCATAGTTGTCGTCATCATTGTCCTCCTCCTCCTCCTCCTCTTCCCTGATGATATTATCTAGCTGGAAACATCTGGAATGAAAACAACTAAGCTTAGATAACACCCAGGGACCCCACAGAGGAATAATGTGTGGAATGTATAGATTGGATTTGTACCTTCTGATGTTCATAATTTTAGTCATTGAGAGAAATGACCAAATGTCTGGAAGAGAAAGTGAATGAACGTGTCTTGCTTGCCCTTTCATTGTTAGATAGAGAAGCTGAGGAGATGTTTGCCAATAAGGAGAAGGTCCAGAAGGACATCAAGACTATTCCTTCAGAGAATGTCTCTCTCACCTGTGAGGTGGCCCAGGCCAAGACAGAAGTCAAGTGGTTCAAGGATGGGAAACTGGTCACCTCCAGCAAGAAATTCAAGGTGGAAGCTGAAGGCAGATCCCGGCGTCTGGTTATTCAACAGGTTGAGAAGAAAGATGGAGGTGAATACACGTGTGAAGCCAATGGCCAGAAGCTGAACTTCAAAGTCACCGTTGCAGGTATGAAAAGATTTTGCATACTAATAGAAGAGAATTGTCAGTTGCCACCTCACACTTGCGCCTCACAACCATTCAGTGTCAAGTGCCATGAACTCAAGGGTGGGGGCTGGATGGGAAGGAGGAGGCTTCGAGGGAAACGAAAGTTCAATGTATTTGTCCAAGATCAGCTTCAAGGTCAACCAGCTGGAAACTGAACGCAGCTGCATACCAAACCTACACCTGAAGTGACCGTTCTGAAAACATCTTATTTGAATTTGATTAGACATGATGGGAGGCAATGAAGGGAGGGAAAAGTTAGACTTGGGGATTTTGGCCCATGAGTTTCAGTTCTGGCTATGCGCTACTGTAGTTCACTTGGCCTTTAATAAACTATACCTTTCCCCATACATGGAGTTAAGGATTGTTTTTTCTTAGAGGCTCAAGCTGAGGCAGGGCTGAAAAGAATATTTCTAGCTCAGGGTTGAAATATCTTTGGCACTCTCTGAGCTTGGGGGTTTTCTTGCAGATGTTCCATCTGCCCAGCTGAGTAACATCATTTGTGCTAATCAACCATCAGTGGATACATAGAAATAAACTACCTTTACTTACCATTCAAAAGAGAAAATAAAAAAGCTAAGAAAGACCAAAATGCATCCTGTCCAGCAGCTGACATTGACATAAGCTGGAATTAACACCAGACAAACAATCAGTTGGAAAACAATACTTTAACCCAAGAGAAAAGCATACACCCACCATATACATTACTACTGTATGTAAACAGGGAGAAAACCCCACTCCCTTCTAGCACTGATGATGTTCCCTAGCTGGGTCATGAAAGGTCTGCAAGAAAATAACCAAGCTCAGAGAGCACCAAGGACCTTCATATTTTTCATACTTTTAGAATTAATCTATTGCATATTTAGGCATTTCATTTCCAAACGCTTCAGTCACGGCTGTTTTGGAAGTAATTATTTATGCTAGCCCTAGATTCATTTATTTATTTAGCATATGGCATCTACAGAAGTCATTCGATTACTGATATGAAGGTAAAAGAGCCCCTGCGGATTTTACTCTACTATACTGTAGGGGATGGTGCTCATTTGTGTTTCAAGGCCATTGAGCCAATGCTGTCCCAGGACATTTCTGCGGTCATGTGGCCAGCATGACGTCATGGAGTGTTGCTACCTTTCCACCGAAGTGATACCAAAGTGGTCAGCCCAGGTTTGAGACCCGAGCCCTAACATTGATGGGGTGAGCTCCTGTCCTTGCCTCAGCTCCTGCCAACCTACCAGTTCAAAAGCAAGCAAATACGAATAGATAAATAATCACTGATATATAGCACTAATGAAACACATTAGGCATGCAGACACAAGTATAAATTTAAATAAAGCAAATAGCCCTAGGTGAGAAGATAGGAATTCTACAAGAATAAAAGAGGACCACACTGCTTTTCTTTCCCTGTTAAGGTATCAAGATGAGAAAGAAAAATGAAGCCATAATGCTCTTCTACTAAGTAAAATGCATTGGCCTCATTTATGCTCATATGTGCTACAAAATTTTTATTTATTTATGAATTTATGAATCAAGGGACATGAAAAAAACCAATTGCATTTTAAGCTTAATAGCATGGCTACAAAGGATAGCCAAAATAGTTACCTTGAAATATTTTAGGAAATCTGACTTCCCCCCCCCCCCCAATCATATGTTTTTCAGAGGATTCTTGACATAACATATGAAAAACAGAGTAATATCCATACACCTAATTGATTTATTGAACAGGTAGTTCTCGACTTATAACCACAACTGAGCCCAAAATTTATGTTGATAAGTGAGAAATTTGTTAAGTAAGTTTTGCCCCATTTTACACCCTTTCTTGCCACAGTTGTTAAGTGAATGACTGCAGTTGTTAAATTAGTAACATGATTGTCAAGTGAATCTGGCTTTCCCCGTTGACTTTGCTTGTCAGAAGATCACAAAAGGGGTTCACATGACCCTGGGACATTGCGACCATCACAGATATGAACCAAATGTCCGAATTTTGAATAGGTGACTGTGGGGATGCTGCAATGGTCGTAAGTGTGAAAAATGGTCATAAGTCATTTTTTCAGTGCCATTGTAACTCAGAATGAACTGTTGTAAGTTGATGATTATCTGTATTGTGAAGTCTCCTTATGATTCTACAGATAGTCCTCATCTTACAACTATTTGTTTAACAACTGTTCAAAGTTACAACATCACTGAAAAAGTAAGTTATGGCCAGTCTTCGCTATTATGACTGTCCCAGCATCTCTACGGTCATGTGATCAAAATTTGAGCACTTGGCAACTGGCAGGTATTTACAACAGTTGCAGCATTGTGAGATCATGTGATCACCATTTGTAACCTTTCCAACTGGCTTCTGACAAGCAAACATTGATTCACTTAATGATCACATGATTTACTTAACAACTGCAGTGATTTGCTTAACAACCATGGTAAAAAATTGGGCGCAATTCACTTAACCATCCTCTTTCTTAACAATAGAAATCCTGGTTCCAGTTATGATCATAAATTCAGGACTAGATGTATATATTTTCTAAAAAAACCTGAAGAGGGATGATAGGGTAATTTCCGTTATGGAGGATGTGATCTACTGTCCTGTGATTCCAGAAAGGACGATTACAATTTAAAACAAAGGTTGAAAAGTTGAATTTTGATTGTCTTCTTCTTCAACTCAGATGCAAAAGCTGAGGAGATGTTTGTCAACAAGGAGAAGGTCCAGAAGGATATCAAAGTTGTAGCTTCAGAGAATGTCTCTCTCAGCTGTGAGGTAGCCCAGGCTAAGACAGAAGTCAAGTGGTTCAAGGATGGGAAACAGATCACAGACACCAAGAAGTTCAAGGTAGAAGAACGAGGTGGATCCCGTTGTCTGGTTGTTCAACAGGTGGAGAAGAAAGATGCAGGTGAATATACCTGCGAAGCCGATGGCCAGAAGCTCGCCTTCAAAGTCATGGTGGCAGGTACAACCACCTTTATATTCTTTACCTCTCCCATACAGCTAGAAGTGGTCAAAGCAATCCATTTTTGGTTGGTTGACTATAGCAGCTCTCAGAAGCTGTAAGAAAACACCTGCAAATTATGTCAATGAGAAAGAGTTGCTTCGGCCAACAGTTTTAGGTAGCATAACTATAAATTCAAATTCAAAATTCAAATTTATTTGATTTATATACCGCCCTTCTCCCTTGCGGGACTCAGGGCGGTGAACAGGCACATTAATAAAACAGCAATACCATAATATTTAAAAATATTCAAAACAAATTAAATTATTTGTCCTGTCCTAAAACCCACTATAATAATATAAAATTATACCCAATTTAAAAATTTTAGAGNGTATGTCCCCCATTGTACGGAGGTCAGGGGGCAGCTCATTCCATAGGGTAGGAGCTGCCACAGAGAAGGCTCTCCCCCTGGGGGTCACCAGCCGGCATTGTCCGGCCGACGGCACCCTGAGGAGGCCTAATCTGTGGGAGCGGACTGGTCGAAGGGAGGTATGTGGCAGAAGGCGGTCCTGCAGATAACCTGGTCCACTAGTTTTATTATCCATGTTCTATGTGGTTGGAAATCTGGCCCTATTTCAACACCAGTGCAAAATTTGATCAGTGTTAGACAACACTAAAAATATGAGAACCATAATTAAATAAGGAGGGTTTTCACCTAGTAAATAATATTTTAATAATCTGGATTGTTTGGTTGAGGACTCAGAACTTCAGGAGGAGTTTGACAACAAAGAACATCCATATAGATGATGATCATACCTTATGGACCATGAGATGTATAGAGGATAGCTCCTTCCTGAAGCTCCTTACTTTAACTGTTAAGGGAAAAGAAAAAATAAAATATGAATAAATGTGTCTTGTCTTCTGCTTCTACTCCTAGATGAAAAAGTTAAGGAAGTTTTTGTCAACAAGGAGAAGGTCCAGAAGGATATCAAGGTTGTAGCTTCAGACAATGTCTCTCTCAGCTGTGAGGTGGCCCAGGCCAAGACGGAAGTCAAATGGTTGAAGGATGGGAAACAGATCACCGACACCAAGAAGTTCAAAGTAGAAGAACAAGGTGGATCCCGTTGTCTGGTTGTTCAACAGGTGGAGAAGAAAGATGCAGGTGAATATACCTGCGAAGCTGATGGCCAGAAGCTCACCTTCAAAGTCACAGTGGCAGGTACAACCACCTTTATATTCTCTACCTCTCTTATAGAGCTAGAAGTGGTCAAAGCAATCCATTTTTGATTGGTTGACTATAGCAGCTCTCAGAAGCTGTAAGAGAACACAGTTTTAGGAGCACAACTATAGTTTTTTTGTTTTTTTAAAAATTTTTTTATTGATTTTTCAATTAAAAACAATAACATAAATATGATGCATTTAATCACAATATAAACCAAGAAAATAACACTACTCAATACATTCACGGAAATGTCCGGTGTCCCCCCCCTGCACCCCCCTCTTTCACTTTCCACACCTTCCTCCCCCCGAACCTACAACCTCTCCTCCTTCCTCCCTCTCTACCTACCTCCCTTCCTCTCTCAAGCATCCCGTCTGGTGCAGTTGGGGTATCCACCGGGCACCTCCTTAAAAAATCACATATAAATCTACAATACATCAATTTATATACATCTATCTATTCCCTTTCCCCCCTCCCCCCCAGGACTTCCCAGAGCTGATCCAGGAAATAAGCACACAATAATCCAATTCTATCCAAAGCTACTCATTATTACTACACACTAGTATAAACTTACTATGACTCTAAAATAACATTAAAATACATACAAATTTTATAAATATAACAATGTTTTTGTATATATATGTATATAAAAAAAATTTTAAATCAAAAGCTACATAATAATTATTCAGTTCATATTTTCTCTGAATATAATCTATCCATCTTCTCCACATTGAAATAAATTTCTCCTGAGAGTGATCCTTCAGGTATGCGGATATTTTTGCCATCTCTGCAAAATACGATACCTTCTGTCTCCAATCATCCATAGGAGCACAACTATAGTTTTATTATCCATGTTCTATGTAATTGGAAATCTGGCTGTATTTCAACAACAATGCAAAATTTGATCAATTAAAACATGAAAATCAAAGCTACATAAGGATGCTGGTAACCTTCTAAATAGCATTTTAAAAATATGGATTGATTTGGCTGGGGGCTCAGAAGCTCAGGAGGAGTTTGGCAAGAGAAGAACAACTATAGAGAGGATAACAGAATAATAGGATTGGAAGGCAACTTGAAGATGTTCTATTCCAACCCCCTGCTAAAGCAAGAGACCCTATACCATTTCAGACAAACGACTGTCCAATCTCTTCTTGAAAACCCCAAGTGATGGAGCACCCACCACTTCTGGTGGCAAATCGTTCCACTGACTAATTGTTCTCACTGTCAGGAATTTTCTTCTTAGTTCTAGGTTGCTTCTCTCTTTGATTAGTTTCCATCCTTTGCTTCTTGTTCTGCCTTCCAGTGCTTTGGAAAATAAATTGACCCCCTTTTCTTTGTGGCAACCTCTCAAATACTGGAAGGCTGCTATCATGTCACCCCTAGTTCTTCTCTTCATTAAACTAGACATACCCAATTCCAGTAACTGTTCTTCATATCTGTTGGAAGAAAAGTCTTCATTGTGGTTCAGTCCAAGCCGGGAATAAACAACATGGCGACTGCTTTAGAAAGAAGGTTGCAGTTTATTGAAGAGGAGAGCCAGACAGAAAGATGGCTCTGGCAGAAAAGAGGAAAAAAAGGGCTGAGCACATGTAGGGAGTGGGTTTTTATACCCTCTGGAGCCTTTTGTTTTGAGTTGTTTCCTGTTCCTGTGGCATGAACTTTGACCTGAGTCTGAGTGTGCTTTTCTGGTATTCTGATGGTCATGGGTTAATCCTATTATGACCCAAAGGTCATATCCTGCTTCCCTGGTGCTAATGACTCTTAGAGTTTGGGTGAGGTATGCCGATTTTAGGTGTCTTTGTCTTCTTAACCTCCTAGCTTCAACCTTCCTGATGGTTTACATCTGCATTTGTACAGAGCTGGCTTCTGTTTGGGGGAGGGAGACCTGGGGCTGTCAAGGAAAACTGGACATGCTTTTCTGCCTCTTCAAGATTCTTTGAGGAAATATATTTCCCTGCCCTTTTAATATTTCTTTCTCTGGGGGGGGCTGATTTCCCACAATGCTTTAGCCTCCTGTCCCCTGATCATCTTTATTGCTCTTCTCTGTACTCTTTCTAGAGTCTCAACATCTTTTTTACATCGTGGCGACCGAAACTGGATGCAGTATTCCAAGTGTAGTCCCACCAAGGCATTATAAAGTGGTATTAACACTTCACATGATCTTGATTCTATCCCTTTGTTAATGCAGCCTAGAACTGTGTTGACTTTTTTGGCAGCACATTGCTGGCTCATATATATAAGTGATTGCCACTTAATGCGGATGACCAAGATATGAGGTGCATGAATGTATAGACGCAGCTCCTTTTTGAAGCTCATTACTTTAAATATTAAATGTGTCTTGTCCTCTGTTTCCACACCTAGATGAAAAAGTTAAGGAGGTGTTTGTCAACAAGGAGAAGGTCCAGAAAGATATCAAGGCTGTGTCTTCAGAGAATGTATCTCTCATTTGTGAGGTGGCCCAGTCCAAGGCAGAAGTGAAATGGTTCAAGGATGGGAAACTGATCACTGTGAGCAAGAAATTCAAAATAGAAGCACAAGGTGGATCGCGTTGTCTGGTTGTGCAACAGGTGGAGAAGAAAGATGCAGGTGAATACACCTGCGAAGCTGATGGCCAGAAACTGACTTTCAAAGTCACTGTTGCAGGTAAAATGCCTTTTTATTACATATATAATCGCTCTACCTATCTACCTACCTGTCTGTCTGTCTGTCTGTCTGTCTGTCTGTCTGTCTGTCTGTCTGTCTGTCTGTCTGTCTGTCTGTCTGTCTGTCTGTCTGTCTGTCTGTCTGTCTGTCTGTCTGTCTGTCTGTCTATCTATCTATCTATCTATCTATCTATCTATCTACAGTATCTTAAATCTTCCAATATATGGAAATAACCTTTATCAAATTTATATGTTGATTGTTTATATCAGCTCTCAGCAGTTCTAGCAGAAAACTTTCAAATTACGTGCACACAAACATTCATTTCTGCAAACAAAATTTGCCTAGTGCAGGTCTACCTTTATGCTGAAAGTTGACTATTTCTGAACAGTGGCAACAATGGAATCCTTATAGCAGTAACTAGGTATGGATTTTTTTACCTTTAAAAGTAATGTTTTAATTTTAATTTATCTTGGTGAAGATTCAGAAGTTGAGGTGATGTTTGCCCATCAGGCAGACATCCAGATGTAGGATGAACTATCTTAGATGATATAGAATATATAGGTTGGACCTTCTTGAAGCTCAGATCTTTAGCTGTAAAGAGAAATGTCAAAATGTCCTAAAGAGAAAGTGACTTAAGATGCTTTCTCCATTCCTTCCACCATTAGATAGAGAAGCTGAGGAGATGTTTACCAAGAAGGAGAAGGTCCAGAAGGAGATCAAGGCTGTGGCTTCAGAGACCGTTTCTCTCAGCTGTGAGGTGGCGCAGGCCAAGACAGATGTTAAGTGGTTCAAGGATGGGAAATTGATTACCTCCAGCAAGAAATTCAAAGTGGAAGCAGAAGGCAAATCACGACATCTGGTTGTTCAACAGGTGGAGAAAAAAGATGGAGGCGAATATACCTGTGAAGCTGGTAGCCAGAAACTCACCTTCAAAGTCACTGTAACAGGTAACAAGATTGATAGCTTCTTTTTTATTTTTTTGGTATATCAGGATGTAAGCAGGATCAGATTCTTTCTAGGTTGATAAATATAGATGATAGATAGATAGATAGATAGATAGATAGATAGATAGATAGATAGATAGATAGATAGATAGACAGACAGACAGACAGACAGACAGACAGACAGACAGATAGATGATAGATAATAATAATAATAATAATAAAGTTGGAAGGATGATAGATAGATAAATAGATATAGAGTGAGATAAAGTGATAGATAGATAGATAGAATACATAGATATAGATAAATGATGATAGATATAATAGGTAGAGATAGATTATAGATGATATAGATATACATAGATATAGATGACAGACAGACAGACAGACAGACAGATAGAGATAGATTATAGATATAAATATAGATATATTGATTGCAAAAAAAATCTATGGCAATTATACTTTTTGGGGGACACACCATGAATTTGAAATAGCTCAATGGTTTGTTTTGAATTGTTCTATGCTTTCTAGAAACAGAAGAATGAGCTCCTATTATATATTTTTTAACAAAGAGTCTCAGGTAGCTAAAAATTTCAGGTTATGTACAAATCCAGGGAAAAATGAGTCAAATAAATTAGCAGGAGACCTATATTCTACAAAACAGCCCTGTACTGTAGTTAGTTATTATTGCTATTTTCTTTGTTTTTTAAAACCATTCTATGATCATGATCCAGAAGCTGAAGAGATGTTTGCCAACAAGGAAATGATCCAGAAGGACATCAAGACTGTGGCTTCAGAGAATATCTCTCTCAGCTGTGAGGTGGCCCAGGCCAAGACAGAAGTCAAATGGTTCAAGGATGGAAAATTAATCACCTCCAGCAAGAAATTCAAGGTGGAAGCTGAAGGCAGATCCCGGCGTCTGATTATTCAACAGGTAGAGAAGAAAGATGCCGGTGAATACACATGTGAAGCTGGAAAACAGAAGTTGATCTACAAAGTCATTGTTGAAGGTGAGAATAACAATTGCCTCCATAGAGAGTCAATATCATAAAGTTTGTCCTATCAGGAAGGCTGAATCTCTTTGTGATCTGTGTTGATACTCTTCAGTTGCTATTTGGGCATTCTTGAAACCTTCCTCCCTCTGTCAATCCCAGGTGGAGTAGGATGGAAATTGTATAGAAGCAATTATGAAATCCTTTGAATGTGTTACAACCAGCCAACACTTGGATTGACAAAAGTATGGATGAGAGAGAGAGAGAGAGAGAGAGAGAGAGAGAGAGAGAGAGAGAGAGAGAGAGAGAGAGAGAGAGAGAGAGAGAGATGATGATGACGGACGGACGGACGGACGGACGGACGGACGGACGGACGGATGGATGGATGATGGGTGGTGGATGACAGACAGGCAGATAGAGATAGAGATGAATGACTATGGTGTGTGGACAGGAAGAAAAAAAAGAGAGAGAAGGAGGATGGATGGATAAGATGAGATGAGATGATGAATGGGCAAGTGCATAAATAGACAGAGAAACATACGGACAGACAAACATAGATGGAGTTGAATGGATGAGATGATGAATGGATAGATAGATAGAGATTGAAATAAGATAAAGAGATTAAAACTTGATTCTTGTTATGCAAGTCTCACCATCTCTTTTTTTCCACATTCACAGAAGCTCCTGAAATCTTTACCAAAAAAGACAAAATAAAGAAGGAGGTCAAGGCGGTCCTGAAGGAGAACACCATTTTGACCTGCGAGGTGGTCACTTCAGACACTCAGGTGAAATGGTACAAAGATGGACAACCCATCCCCATCAGCAAACACATCAAGATGGAGTCGGATGGAACCATCCGCAAACTGCACCTGGAGCAGGTGGTGACCAAGGACGTGGGAGAGTATACCTGTGAAGCAGGTGGTCAGAAAGTGACCTTCAAGGTGGAAGTAACAGGTGAGGTCCCTTCTCCTTTTCTAATAGTGTTTTGCAGCTGATGAAAAGGCCAGTGTAGTTCTAGGCTGCATCAACAGAGGGAGAGTTTGAACATCACTTGAGGGGATAGTACAGGCAATCCTCAATTTACGACCATAGTTGAACACAAAATTTATGTTGTTAAGTGAGACATTTGTTAGGCGAGTTTTGCCCCATTTTATGGTCTTTCTTGCCAAGCTGTGAAGTTGATAAGTTACTAATACAGTTCTTGTGAATCTGGCTTCCCCATTGACTTTGCTTGTCAGAAGGTTACAAAAGGGGATTACGTGACCCCGGGACACTGCGACCGTCATAAATATGAAGCAGTTGCCAACCATCCGATTTTGATCACATGACCATGGGGATGCATGCTGTCATGGTTGTAAGTGTGAAAAATTGTCATGTCACTTTTTTCAATACTGTTGTAACTTTAAACAGTCACTAAGCAAATTCTTGTAAGTCGAGGACTGCCTATACTGCTTTATACTGCACTGGTGAGGCCACACTTGGAAAGTTGCATCCTGTTCAGGTCACCATGTTACAAAATAAGAAGTTGAGTCTCTAAAAAGAGTGCAAAGAAGAGCAACAAAGATGTTTAGGGGGCTGGAGGCTGAAACACATGATGACAATTGGGGGAGCTATGTACAGGTGGTCCTCGACTTATGATCACAACTGAGCCCCAAATTTCTGTTGCTAGGTGAGAGTTGTAAAGTAAGTCTTGCCCTATTTTACAACTTTTTTTTGCCGCATTTGTTAAATGCATCCCTGCAGTTGTTAAATTAGTAATACGTTTGTTAAATGAATCTGGCCTCTCCATTGACTTTGTTTGTCAGAAGATTGCAAAAGCTGGTCACGTGACCCCGGGACACTGCAACTGTCATAAAATGAACCAGTTGCCAAGCATCCAAATTTAGATCACATGAGCATGGGGATACTGCAAGGGGCGTATGAAAAACAGTCATAAGTCACTTTTTTCACTACTGTTGCAACTTCGAACAGTCACTAAATGAATGGTTGTAAGTCGAGGATTACCTCTATGTCTAACCTATGAAAGAGAAGGATGAGGGATGACATGATAGCAGTCTTCCGATATTTGAGGAGCTGCCCCAAAGAAGAGGGAGTCAACCTCTTCTCCAAAGCACCTGAAGGCAGGACAAGAAGCAACGGATGGAAACTCATCAAGGAGAGAAGCAACCTGGAACTAAGGAGAAACTTCCTAACAGTTAGAACAATTAACCAGTGGAACTGCTTGCCTCCAGAAGTTGTGGGTGCTCCAACACTAAAGGTTTTTAAGGAGAGATTGGACAGCCATTGTCTGAAATGGTATACAGCAGGGATAGGCAACCTTGGCTCTTTTATGACTCGTGGATTTCAACTCCCAGAGCATAGCTGGCTCAGGAATTCTGGGAGTTGAAGTCCACAAGTCATAAAAGAGCCAAGGTTGCCTACCCCTGGTAGGGTTTCCTGCTTGAGCAGAGGGTTGGACTAGAAGACCTCCAAAGTCCTTTATGTTCTATGAGGTATTGATCGGTGGAGGGTTAGATTCACCACTCACTTAATAACTGCCTTGCTATGTAACAGACATTCCGGTCTTAAGTGTGGTTGTAAGTCGAGGACTTACCTGTACTTATTTTCCTGTTGGTCTTCCAGAACCAGAGGTCAAATTCCAAAGAATAGCTGCTCAGGAGGAGACCATTGTCACTCAGGAGCACAAGGAAGTCATCTTCTCCACCGTGATACAACCTGAGGAGGCTGAGGTCAAATGGTTCAAGGAAGGAGTTGAGATCAAAGATGGCAAGAACTATAAGATAAAGAAGGACAAGGCGGCTAGGACCTTGATTGTGAAGACAGCCGAAATCAAAGATGCTGGTCTGTACACTTGCGAAGTCAAGAGTGAGAAACAGCAGTTCCAACTCAAAGTGGAAGGTGAGAGGCAAACGGAGGTGGCCATCCTGAAATGTCAAATCAATTTCATGAAGGCTGCAAGGCTAACTAACCCAAGACAGAAAGATCAGATCAGTCAACGATGAAAGAAATCATCTCAAGCTCTTTCCAGCCTCAAAATAATGTGGTGTCAAGAGCTGTGTGAGTCACTAGTTACTAGCTCTGCGGGATCCTGGGGGCTCTCTGAGCTTCTGAGTTTTCTTGAAGATGTTTCATGGTCCAAGTCTAGAAGGCAGGAGGGTGGGCAGAAAGAAGGCAGAGGAGAAGGAAGACTGGGGGGAGGGGTCCTTGGTGCTCTCTGAGCACGGTTGCTTCCTTGCAGACATTTCATGATCCAATTAGGTAACCCTATCCATACCATAAGGAAGAGGGGTTTTGGTCATGTTCCCTAGTTGGGTCATAAAACGTTTGCAAGAAAATGATCAAGCTCAGAGAGCCCCAAGGATCCCACAGTCGTCGTCGTCGTCGTCGTCGTCGTCGTCCTCCTCCTCCTCCTCCTCCTCCTCCTCCTCCTCCTCCTCCTCCTCCTCCTCCTTGCATACCCCCTCCCTTCTAGCACTGATGATGCTCCCTAGTTGGGTCATGAAAGATCTGCAAGAAACCAACGCAGCTCAGAAACCACCAAGGATCCCATGGTTGAATCTCAAGCTACAAATATCTCCTTCTGTTACATACTATTCCAATCTTAAAAATATGTCTTCCTTAAGCCAAGAATTTATCTATCAGATAAATCACTGGACAAAGACAGTCTCTGTATTCAGCCCATTTTATACCGCTGGACATTTGTACCAGTTTGTATCATAAAGGCAAGATTTAAAAAATTTAAATAAATACTCTAAAGTCTGTCTTTTGACTTATTTTCTTTCTATCTTCCAATTCCCTTGCAGAAGTACCGGTTAAGTTTGCCAAAAAGCTGGAGCCTGTAAAAGCTGAGCTGGGAAAGGCTTTGAGTTTGAGTTGTGAACTTAACCAGCCCGAAGGTGCGGTTGTGTGGCGCAAGGACGGAACGGTTCTCAAAGCTAGCAAGCGCTACCTGATGCAAGAAATTGGTGCCAAAAGAGTGCTGATCATCTCCGGTTTGCGGGCTGAGGACAAGGGAGAATATTCATGTGAGGCAAAGAATGACCAATGCATCGTTCAAGTCACACCCACAGGTACTTCCTGGTGTTAGGGGGGGGGGTATGTGGTAGTGCCACAGGAAGCAGCTATTGTAAATTAGGGAACATCCTCAGTGTTAGAACGGAATGGGGTTTACAGAAAGGAGGAGGAGAAGGAGAAGGAGAAGGAGGGGAGAAGGAAGAGGAAGACTGTGGGGGTCTTTTGGTGCTCTCTGAGTTTGGCAGTTTCCTTGCAGATGTTTCATGATCCAATTAAGTAACATCATAAGTGCTAGAAGGGAGGGGGGTTTGCGGGGAGGAGGAGAACTCTGGGATTCTTGATGTTCTAACTGAGCTAGGTTATTTTCTTGCAGAAGTTTCATGACCCCACTAGGTAACATCATCAGTGTAAGTAGGGAATGGGTTTGTTCTCTGTTTACCTACAAGTGACTTGCCTGTTAGTGATAAGGCCAAAGCGAACCACTTGTACATGAACAGAGAGCAAATCCTGCTCTCTTCTAACTGTCCCTTAGTTGCTCACGGTCACTTTCCAACACGCTCAAGTCTGCAAGCTGAGAGGCCACCTTTAAGGAGGCCCTTCAGACATCCACAAGAGAACATCCCCCCCTCCCCCCCTTTGTCTGATGTGTATCTGCTCTTCTCTCCAGCGCCTCGCATCGTGAAGTTTGTCAAGGGCCTCTCCAAAGTCATTGCAGAAGAAGGGAAGGAGGCGGTTTTCGAATGCACCGTCTCACCCAGCGATGCGGCCGTTAGGTGGAGCCACCGTGGAACCCCGGTCGAAGCCAGCAAGAAATACGCCGTTTCTCATCGGGATGTCCATCACAGCCTCATCATCACCGCACTGACAGTCCAAGACAGTGGGGAAGTCACAGCCGAAGCTGAGGGAGAAGAGAGCCGGGCCCACCTCCGAGTGGAAGGTGAGACAGGGGTCCATCAGGGATGGAAGGACATGTCCAGGTGTGGGAATCTCATTTCTGGACACTCTCCCATTGATCTGAACTGTCGTTTATTTTATATTTTATTTTATTACTTTACTTTTTTATTTTGTTTTATTTAGTTTATTTTAGTTTATTTTTTTGTTCTATTTTATTTTATTTTATTTATTTCAATTTTAGTTTATTTTTTTGTTCTATTTTATTTTATTTATTTCAATTTTAGTTTATTTTTTTGTTTTATTGTATTTTATTTTATTTATTTCAATTTTAGTTTATTTTTTTGTTCTATTTTATTTTATTTATTTCAATTTTATTTTATTTTTTGTTTTATTGTATTGTATTTTTTTGTTTTTATTGTATTGTATTTTATTTTATTTTGATTTTAGTTTGTTTTTATTTTTATCTTATTTTATTTATTTGTATTTCAGTTTATTTTTTATTTTATTGTATTTTTATTTTTTATCTTATTTATTTCAGTTTTAGTTTATTTTTTATTTTATTGTATTTTAATTTTTTATCTTATTTATTTCAGTTTTAGTTTATTTTTTATTTTATTGTATTTTAATTTTAGTTTGTTTTATTTTTATATTTTACTTTGTTTTATTTTTTATTTATTGTAATTTATTGTTTTATTTTACTTTATTTTAGTTTATATTGTTTTATTTATTTTATTTTACTTTATTTTATTTTTTATTTTAATTGGTTTATTTTATTTTATTATTTTATAAATTATGTGGCTGCCAAACTTACATACATATCACAGCTTATAATATTAAAAACTCTCAAATAAAGCCCCATCTTGCACTTCCCCACCCCTCAGGGTGAATGATGTTCCACAAGACGGGGCCAGCACCAAGGAAGCCCTTTTTCATGGTTCCATAGATATATAATCCAAATAGATGGGACCCAGAACACCCTGCCTTCCTGTCCTTGTGAGCCAGTTGGATCTAACAAGGGAGAAGTGGTTTGTTTACAAATACAGGTAGTCCTCGACTTACAACCATTGATTTAATAACCGTTTGAAGTTACTCGTTCATGTTTATGATGGTTGCAGTGTCCCAGGATCATGTGACAAGCAAAGTCAATGGAGAGGTTAGATTCAGTGTGACTAGCTTAACAACTGCAGTGTTTCATTTAACAAGTGTAGCAAGAAAGGTCATAAAATGGGGCAAAAGTCACTAAACAATTGTCTTGCTTAGCAACAAAAAGTTTGGACTCCATTGTGATCATAAGTCATGTACATGCTTGGTGGAGAACTCTGGATCCTGCTCTGAGTGCCTGTTTAGCAGTGGGAATTTTGGGCTCAGTTTTTGTCGTAGGTCGAGGAATACCTGTAGAAACCTAGTGATCTTCGAAACCGTCATCACCCAGTAACACTAGTTTTCTTCTTGCAATACATGTTTTCACGTAGGGGAAAGCATCAAATCCCAATTGGCTAGATAGAAATGTTCTTTTGTGTTGGACTTATTTTTGTAAAGACATTACCCAGAATAAGATGGTAGAAGAAATTGCAAATTTTGAAGGCTTCATCTAGTATAGAAAATGTTAATACTGGTTGAAAATATTGCTTCACTTTAAATACAGGTAATGCTTGACTTACGATCACGACTGAGCCCAAAATTTCCATTGCCAAGTGAGACAGTTAAGTGAATTTTGCCCCATATTATGACCTTTCTTGGCAAAGTTGTTCAGTTGATTCACTGCAGTTGTTAATTTAGTAACACGGTTGTTAGGTGAATCTGGCTTCCCACATTGACTTTACTTGTCAGAAGGTCACAAAAGGGGATCACCTGACCATGCAACCGTCATAATTATGAGTCAGTTGCCAAGCATCTGAATTTGGATCATGTGACCATGGGGATGCTGCAACTAATTAGTGTGAAAAATGGTCATAAGTCACTTTTTCCCATTGTAACTTCGAACGGTCACTAAACAAATGGTTAAAAGTCAGGACTACTTGTGCATACCAATTGCCAAGCAACTAGTCACTGTGGGGTTACTGTGATGGTTATAAGTGCAAGTATTGGTCTTAAGTCACTTTTTTCAGTGCAGTTGTAACAAAATGGTCACTAAATGAATGGTCGTAAGTCGAGGACTACCCGCATTTGTAGTGCTTTTAATCTACCTGATGCTTTTGGTTTACCTCAAAATCAGAAGCACCGGTGTTATTTGTGAAGAAATTGGAGGGCAAAGCCGTAGAAGAGAAGCAGACTGTTATCCTTGAAGTGGAGCTATCCAAGCCAACCACGGAGGTGAAGTGGACAAAGAACGCAAGTGTCCTTCATCCAATGGCCAATCTGGAGATCCATGCCGAGGGGACAAAGCACCACCTGGTGATCAAGAGTGCATCCTGTGATGATCGTGGGTTTTATTCCTGCGAGACCCTCCATGACAAGACACAAGCCAAGGTCACTGTAGACAGTAAGTCCTCTCTTGGGACTAGTTCTGAGGATCACAGCTCTTGTGAGAATCATAGAAGTTTGGAGGGGATGGTGGAGAGCTTCTAGACCAGGCTAGGAAGCCATGGACCATCCCAGATCAATGGTTGTCCAACGTTTACTTGGACACCTTCAGGGGCGGAGACCCCATGATTTCAGGAGGAGGGTTGTTTCACCCCTTCATAATTCTCACAGTTGGGAAATTCCTCCTTGGCGCGCTCTGAGGTTTAGCAAGGTTTTCTTGCTAGATCTAGAACTGATAATGTTACCTAGTTGGGTCATGAGACATCTGCGAGAAAATAGCCAAGCTTAAAGCTTAAAGCACCAAAGACTCCATAGCGAATGAATGAATGAATGAATGAATGAATGAATGAATGAATGAATATAGACAGAGAGCAAACTCTTCTAGCATTGATGATGAGGGCAACAGTGGCTTTCAAATGAAGTCAAATGTCATGCAAATTTGGTTGGTTTCACGAGGAAGTCCTATGTTCCTCTCAATTGAAGAGTGATAAATATGAGGTTTTTGACACGAACGTGTCTCATCCACCTTGTTCTATTTCCAAGTGAGACCCATCAAATTGATCAAAGGCCTGCAGCCGACGGATGTTCACGAGAAGGAATCGGTCACTTTTGAGGTGGTACTGTCCCACGAAGACGTGGAAGCAGTTTGGATGAAGGACGGTCTGCGTCTCAAGTCTCAGGACAACTGCCAGATAACCGCCCAAGGGAAGAAGCACTCACTGACCCTCACGTCCCTGACATTGGAAGACTCAGCTCTTATTTCCTTCAAGGCCGAAGGGATTCACACCACAGGCAGGCTCAATGTGAAAGGTAGGTGTTCAGAAAACCTCTTTTAAATTACAGGTAGCCCTTAACCTGGTAGCCACACAAACCATATGTAAATGCAGAGATAAACCAGAAATAAGTGCTGGAGAATTCCTGGAATCCTGGCATTCAGACAAATCAGCTATCAACAGGCAAATAGAGATAAACAACATCTACACACCATTTACAAAAGACAATAAAAAATCTAAAAGATCACAACACCTCCTGACAAGCAAACGACTCCCAGATAAGCAGAGTTTAAAACCAAGCAGTAAATAATATTCCAAAAAGGAACTACTAACACAGTAAACAATAGCCTAATCAAGGAACTACCAAGAACATTCCCATCAACAGAGCAGTGACTAGCATATAAAACGAGAGCAAATCTCATTCCCTAGTGATGGTGAACCTTTTAGAGACCGAGTGCCCAAACTGCAACCCAAAACCCACTTATGCATCGTCGGGTGCCGGGTGGGTGTGGCCCATTGGCTGGCTGTGGACAATTGGCTGGGCGTGGCTGCGGTGATAACGGCAGACTGGGTAGGACTAAAAAGTTCAATCAATCAATTCCAACCTTGCAAGATCTTTTTTTTCCCCGCGAGAAGTTGAAATTGACTGATTGATTGAACCTTTTTTTTTTCTTTTGCACATGGCAGCGGAGGCCTAAAGTGAAAAGGTTTTATAAAACCCAGCTGAAGGCCTAGGACTGGGGTGGCGGTGTGCGTGCCCACAGAGAGGGCTTTGAGTGCCGCCTCTGGCACCCGTGCCATAGGTTCGCCACCACTGCCCTAGTCCTACTGATGATGTTACCTAGTTGGGTCATGAAATTTCTGCAAAAAAACCACCAAGTTCAGAGAGCACCAAGGACCACATTGTTCTCCTCCTCCTCCTCCTCCTCCTCTCTGCAACACCCCTCCCTTCTAGCACTTTTATCATGAAACGTCTGCAAGAAAACCACCAAGTTCAGAGAGCACCAAGAACCCCACAGATCAACCCAGATCTGCAAATATTCTCTTCTAGTGATAAACTTCAGAATTAGTTGCTACAGAGTTGATTTTCTGTTTCTCTGTTTGAGATTGAGCAGGCCTAGACATCAATCCTGGACTTACTGTACGAGTACAATTGACCCTCAAATTTCTGTTGTTAATTGAGGCAGTTGTTAAGTGACTCTTGCCCCATTATACAATCTTTTTTGCCACCATTGTTAAGTGAGTCACTGCTGTTGTTAAGCTAGTGACACAGTTATTAAGTGAATATGCTTGTCAGAAGGTTGCAAAAGGAGATCACAAAACCCAGGACACTGCGACTGTCATAAATATGAATTATTTGCCAAGCATCTGAATTCTGATCACGTAAGCATGGGAATGCTACAATAGTCGTAAGTGTAAAAAAGCGGTCACAAGTCCCTTTTTTCAAGTGCATTGTAACTTTGAATGGTCACTAAACAAATGTTGTAAGTGGAATATTAACTGTAATGTAATTTCTCTCTTTTCTAATGGTCGTCTCACCTTATATCCGTGGCAGACCTATCTTTTACTTATGCATAAATAAAATATATTAACTTATCTTCCTGTTTGATGCTAATTTGGCCAGAGGCAGAGCAGGCTAAGAAACTTAACCTGATTTATGGCTAACATTTCAATTACTTACATGTTATTTCTCCTTGGCAGAAACCCCTGTGAAAATCATCACACCTTTAAAAGATCTCAAAATCCAGAACAAGGATGACGTAACACTTGAGTGCGAACTTTCCAGGCCCAATGCAGAAGTGAAGTGGCGTAAGGTATAGCATCGAGTTTAATAAATATAAGCCTGTGGACTTCTCTTCAATGTCTGCAGTTTCTTGAACTTCTGTCTTGTAAGATTGCATGCACAGCTTCATGGGAAGACAGGTAGTCCTGAAAGGCAATGGAGAAATCAGAGTCACTTAACAACTCTGTTACCAGCTTAACAATGCAGTGATTCAGTGAACAACTGTGGCAAGGAAGGTTGTAAAATGGAGCAAAACTCACTTAGTCACAGAAATTTTGGGCGTAAGTTGAGGACTACCTGTATCTCAGGACCTACCTCAAAACCCGGATCCAGTAAAAATTTCGGTCAATAAACTCCTCTGTGGACTTCTTGGTTTTAGAATGGAGTGGAGATCCGGTCGAGTAAAAAGATGGTCATTGCTTCCAGAGGGACAAAGAGAAGCCTCGCCATTCACACATGCGAATATGAAGACCAAGGAACATACATGTGTGACGCAGTGGATGATAAGAGCTCAGCTGTTTTGGAGATCTACGGTACAATGTCCTCCCTTAATTTTTTAGAGTCAGGCTTCCCTTCTTTGAATCTTATTCAAGGAATGAGAATTTAGGAGCCGTGATTAACAGTATTCAATAGAAAAGAAGTTTAAATCACAATATAATTCCTTTTAGACACACAGGCACATGTTTTCTTCCTAAATGTGTTCTGAAGTGTTGTTCTAGGTGCAGGCCTAGAAACCAGGAGACGGTGAGTTCTAGTTCCGTCTTTGACATGAATGCTGGCCACCTAGCTAAACCTCAAGATCCATTCCTTACTATTCCCCCAGGAATTTTTTTTCTACTAATATACAAAATAAAAGTGTGGATAATTCCCCAACACACATTAATGACTGCAAGGAACACAGACACCTTAATCTTAAACAAAAATGTCTCATTTTGATTTTTTTAGCCCGGGACGTCAAGATTGTAAAACCATTGGAAGATGTTGAAGTGAGCGAAAAAGAAAGTGCTTCTTTCCTGTGTGAGATTTCGCATGATGATGTCCAAACCCAGTGGTTCAGTAACGAAAACAAAATCAGGACTGGAGAGAACATCAAACTACGTCAGGAAGGTAGGAAGAATTGAAAAGTGATGGACTCTGGTTGTTTACTTGAAAACATCGCATGACCCAACTAGATAACATCATCCTTGTGAGGGAGTGTGGAGTTTTTTCCTTTTTATGTACAGCTGCTTGCTGTAGATAAAAAGAACAGTGTTGGTCGGGTGTAGTTTTTTTTCCCCTTGGTAGTTTCTCGATCAGGGTATTGATTTGTGCTTGATTGTTTGTCTGGGGTTAATCCCTGTTTATTTGGATTTCTTTTCTTTGGAGTCCTTGATGCTGTCTGAGCTTGGATGCTTGCTTGCAGACATCTCCTGGCCCAACTAGGTAACATCATCCATGTGAAGGAATATGGAGTTTGCTCCCTTTTTATATACAGTTTCCCCTGGTGGGTGTTTCTTTTTCTTGGTATCTTCTTGATTAAGGTATTGTTTTCTGCTTGATTGTCTGGGGTTAATCCCTGCTTATCTGGGTTTCTCTTTCTGTGGTAACCTTGGTCATGGGTTTCATGACCCATAATAATAATAGGATGCTTATCTTTGATGATGCTAAAGGTCTCGTTGCAGGATGTAAACTATTCCAACTCAAGCCACCTTTTGCAATTGATTAATGGCTATTGACAAAATCCTTGTAAGTCAATTGCAAAAAGGCAACTTTATTCAGAACAGCTTCCATGCTATGATGAGAATTTTAACAATATCTACCTATCTCAGGCTCTTGGGAAAGTCTCAAGAGGTAGACAAAAGGCCAAATCCAGTCTGAAAATCTGGTTAACGCTGCAACCAACATTAATAATGTATCATTCCCATTGATAAAATCCCTATCAGTCAATTGCAGAAGGCAGCTTGACTTGGAACAGCTTACAATCTGTGATGGGACCTTGAACCCCATCAAATATTCACATCTGCTTATCTCAGATCTTTGGGAAGTGGACAAAAAGACCAAATCCAGTCTGAACATCATGTCACTTTTTTCACTGGTGTTATAAGTTCAAACGATTACTAATTGAACTATTATAAGTTGAGGACTACCTGCATAATGGCAGCAGTCACCACCAATAATGTTCAAGGATCTTTTTTATCTCCTTACCTATCATCCCCAGAGAAGCAAGGAGCAATAACCATAATCCTCTTTTTCCTTGCTGCTTAGGAGACTTTTAAGAAGAAACTGGACAGTCATTTGTCCGGAATGGTCTAGGACCCCAACCTTTTGGGCACCAGGGGCTGGTTCCATTGAGAGAGGTTTTTCCTGTGGACCGGAGGGGTGTGTGGTTTCATGTATTGCCTGCATCCCGCGGATGGGGCTTTGCTTGTTCGCGTGGACTGGTTTCTGGCATGCTGCAGCCTGGTGCCAGTCCATGGACTGGGGGTTGGGGGCCCCTGGTCTAGGGTCTGCGAAGAGGGTTGGACACGAAGACCTCCAAGGTCCCTGTTATTCTATTTTTCTGTTATTCTGCTATTCCGTTATTCTGTTGTGGATGCTCCATTACTGAAGGTTTTCAAGAAGAGACTGGACAGCCACCTGTCTGAAATGATATGGAGTCTCCTGCTTGAACGGGGGTTGGGCTAGAAGACCTCCAAGGTCCCTTCCAACTCTGTGATTCTGCTATCTTGGCTGTTCCTTAAATGGGGAGATGGTTCTGCTAAAGAGAGTGGCAAGCTTTTGTCTTAATGTGGATGACGTTTACTTGTTTGATGGATGAATCATGGATGACTTGTAACTTGGAGACTGTCTTTTTGTGCGCAGGGAAAAGTCACACGCTGGTTTACCGCAGTGTGGAGTTGCAGGATTCTGCAGAAATAAAATTTGTGGCCGAAGCTGCAGAATCACAAGCTCAGCTTAAAGTCAAAGGTAAGGAATGACTTCATAATTTAGTGAATTCAATTTTTTTCAGAAAGCGTATCCCCAAACTAGCTACAGATAGTCCTCAAATTATGACCACAATTAAACCCCAAATTTCCGTTGCTAAGCAAGACAGTTGCTAAGGAGGCTTTGCCTCATTTTACGTCCATTTTGGCCATAGTTGTTAAGTGAATCATTGACATTGTTAAGTTGGTCACACAGTTGTTAAGTGAATCGGGCTTCCTCATTGACTTTGCTTGGCAGAAGGTCTCAAAAGGGGATCATGTGACTCCGGGACACTACAACTGTCATAAATCTTCGAGACCGCCTCCTGCCGCAGATTACCTCCCATCGGCCTGTACGCTCCCACAGAGTGGGTCTCCTCAGGGTGCCGTCGGCCAGACAGTGCCGGTTGGCGACCCCAAGGGGGAGGGCCTTCTCTGTGGGAGCTCCCACCCTCTGGAATGAGCTGCCCCCAGAGATCAGGGTGATCCCTGATTTCCCTTCCTTCCGCCGCGCCCTTAAGACATGGTTATTCCAGCTTGCAGAACTGGCCTAGGGGAAAATTTTTAATGGGGGTTTTAAAGTAATTTTAAATTACTTAGGCCAATTATTAATATTTGTCTTTTAATCATGTTTTAACTGTAGTTTTGGTATTTTGTAGTTTTTATCTGGTTGTTAGCCGCCCTGAGTCCGCAAGGAGAAGGGCGGGATATAAATATAAGCAATAATAATAATAATAATAATAAATATGAATCAGTTGCCAAGCATCTGAATTTTGGTCAGGTGGCCATGGGGATGCGGCAATGATTGCAAGTATGAAAAATGGTCATGTCACTTTTTTCAGTGCCATTGTAACTTCGAACAATCACTAAACGAATGGTTATAAGTCGAGGAGTACCTGTATTATCCACATTGAATTTCCTGCAAAGTTACATCACTAACCTTCTTCTGTTCTCCTCCTTTAGAACTACCGGTCAAGATCATTAAACCCCTCCGGGTGAAGATCGCCATTGAAAGACACCGAGGTTTTATGGAATGCCAAGTCTCTCGTCCGAACGCTATTGTTAAGTGGTTCAAGGGGGACCGAGAACTCCATCCTGGTCAGAAGTATGAGATGGTGAGCGATGGGATCTACCGGAAACTTATCATCAACGAGACCGCGTTTGAGGACGAAGGGATTTATACCTGTGACGCCGTGGATGATAAGAGCAGCGCTCAGTTCTATGTGGAAGGTACATCCTCTTCTTCATTTGTATAGGTAGTCCTGGCCTTATGACAACAATTGAGCCCAAAGTTTCTATTGCTAAGCAAGACAGTTGTTAAGTGACTTTTGCCCCATTTTACGACCTTTCTTGCCATGATTGTTAAGTGAATCATTGCAGCTGTTAAGTTAATCACATGGTTGTTAAATGAATCTGGCTTCTCCATTGACTTTGCTTGTCTGAAGTTCGCAAAAGAGGATCACAAGACCCTGGGACACTGCAATTGTCATAAATATGAGTCAGTTGCCAAACGTTTGAAATTTGATCCCATGACTGTGGGGATACTGCAACGGTCATAAGGGTGAAAAATGGTCTAGGTCACTTTTTTCACTGCCGTTGTAACTTGGAACAGTAACTAAACGAACTGTTGTAAGTGAAGGACTACCTGTAATATCAATTTGTTCCCCAAAAATATTGGGTGAAAAGGGACACTCAGCTGTGGTGACACAGTGGTTAGAATGCAGTATTGCTGGTTAATTTACTGATCACTGCCCAAAGTCCAATCCTCACTGGCTCAAGGTTGACTCAGCCCCCCATCCTTCTGAGGTGGGTAAAATGAGGACTGAGATTGTTGGGGGGTGGATGCAACATGCTAATGCTTAGAGAGGGCTGTAAAGCACTGTGAAGTGGCATATAAGTCTAAGTGCTATTGCTGGACAGGAATCTGACGGGGGCGTTTGTTGACAGCAGATGCATTTCCCCTTAACTTTGCTTGTCAGAAGGTCAAAAGTGGGGATCATATTACCCTGAGACACAGCAACCGTCATAAATACATGCCAGTTGCCAAGCCTCTGAATCTTAATCACCTGACCATGGGGCTTGCTGCGATGGTCATAAGTGGAAAAACGGTTATAAGTCACTTTTTTCAACGCCGTTGTAACTTGGAATGGTCACTAAATGAATGGTCGTAAATTGAGAACTACCTATATCTTAGAAAGCTCTTCTTGTCAACAATGATGGCTTGAAGGATTTGGGGATGATTGAGTCCCCAAACTCCAGCGGTGATGACCTAGCGGTTGACTTTGTCTTCCCTTATTTCTCTTCAGAACAAACCATCAACGTTGTGAAGGAGCTGAGAGATGTGGAGGTGATGGAACCAGCCGAAGCCCGCTTTGAGTGCGAAATCTCCATCCATTCAGTGAAGCCCCCCAAATGGTCTCTCCGTGGAGAAGTGCTACAAAATGGCCCAAATGTCATCATAGAACAAGAGGGGAAAATCCACCGGCTGATCTTGAGGAAGACCAATGTGGACATGACAGGCACCATTCAATTTGCCATTGGCAAGTCCAAATCCTTGGCTGATCTGGTGGTCAAAGGTAAGATAGAAGTCCCCCCAAGTGTAAAACAGCCACGGAAGAACTTTGAGGGTGGTGATAGTGGTTAGAGCTGTATGCTTATTTAGAATGGAATGGAACAGAATGGAATGGAACAGAATAGAATAGAATAGAATAGAACAGAATAGAAAATACAATAGAATATAGAAAAACAGAATAGTGTAGAACACAGGTAACCCTCGACTTATGACCAAAACTGAGCCCAAAATTTCTGTTGCTAAGCAAGACATTTGTTAAGTGATTTTTGCCCCATTTTATGACCTTTCTTGTCACATTGTTAAGTGAATCGCTGCAGTGGTTAAGTTAGTAATGCGGTTGTTAAGTGAATCTCGCTTTCCCTTCTGACTTTGCTTGTCAGAAAGTAGCAAAAGAAGATCATGTGACCCCAGGTCACTGCAACCATCATAAACATGAGTCAGTTGCCAAGCAATTCGAATTTTGATCACATGATCATGGGTATGCTGTAATGGTCATAAGAGTGAAAAATGGTCATAAGTCACTTTTTTCAGTGCCATTTTAACTTTGAACGGTCACTAAATGAACTGTTGTAAGTCAAGAACTATCTGTAATAAAGTTGGAAATGAACTTGAAGGTCTTCTGGTCCAGTCACACCAAGGATCCCACGGTTTAAACCTTAGCTACAAAGATTCTCTTGTATCAGTAGAGTTGATAGATTTAATTCAGATTTGATTTGGGAAAAGATTTGACAATGAAGCAGCATCAAAATTTTGGAAGCCACTTTATTTGTTTGACCAAAGTGGAAAGTATTCGTGATGGTAACCACTTAGATGAACATCAAGTAGGCAAAGTTTTCCATGGGTAATTTGAAGGGTTTTTCAACATTTGGAAGATGCACCTCTTTGAAACCACAGGAGGAGCAACAGAAACAGATAAAAAGAAATCCACTCCAAAATTGTGCATCACAAGGTTTGTAGAGAACAGATGCAACTACACAAATGGGGAAATAATTCCTCAAATTATGAACCTGCATGGCCTCAAACTGGGTGAAATTCTGGGAATTGTAGTTGGAAAATGTTTGGAGGTGCCGAGTTCATAAAATTAGGGAGCTTTTGAGGAACCACAATGATTATTTAGTTCAGGGGTGTCAAACTCAATTTCATTGAGGGCCGCATCAGCATTGCGGTTGCCCTCGGGGGGGGCGGGGGGGCGGCCTACTGGGTGGGCGTGGATGGAGTGGGTGTGGCCTACTGGGTGGGCATGGACAGCTTTACATCGTTCGCGTCAAGGGTGCCTATGGGGGCCTGGGCAGGAGTGGGACAGATCTGAGGGTCTCTGGCAGAAGGGGGTGGGACCGGGGCAAGCGCCAAGGCATGGTCCATTTCTTCATTCCTCACAAAGGGTGACACCTCCCCAGCATGCACCCAGGGGGCGGGGCCGATGCGGCAGGGGCTGGTTCATCGCTATTTCCAGATGGCCTTGTGGAGCTAAGACTGAATGTGTTTCAGCATAAATGGCCACCACAAAATTGTACATTGGCGCCCGGCCAGCCTGGGCCAGGGCCAAGGCAGCGGGGGTCATTCCCTCACTGTTTCCAGGATGGCTTCGCGTGCCACATGAAACCACTTCGCGGGCCGCATCCAGTCCCCGGGCCTTATGTTTGACATGTCTGATTTAGTTGGAAGAGAATGATTCACAGTCTAATTCAGTCTTCACATGAGTCTTCTTGGTTTCGAAGATGACCTTCTTCACTTTCTCTCTGTAGATATTCCAGTGATCTTCACTAGACCTCTAGAAGACAAGACAGTCCTGGAAACCCATTCAGTGGTCCTCTCTTGTGACTTCAAGCCATCCCCAAAGGAGGTTGAGTGGTACAGGAACCACACTTTGCTGGAACCTTCTGAGAAATTTAAGATGAAGAGAGAGAAGTTCACAGCGGAGCTCAAAATCCTGAGGTTGACTGTCAGGGATTCAGGTGTCTACCGATGCAAAGCCGGAAGCGCAGAGACGAAAGCCACGTTGACCATTTTGGGTAGGTTGATGGGATGAGACCTTTCAGGATTGTCCTTATGTAGGAGACCAAAAGGGGTGGACTAGAACTCACTGTCTTCTGGGGATTGGCTCAAAATCATCCAACCAGCTGTCATGTCTAAGGTGGAACTAGAACTCACAGTTTCCCAGTAATTGGCCCAAAGTCACCCAGCTGGCTTCATGCCTAAAGTTGGACTAGAACTCACAATCTCTTAGTGATTGGCCCAAAGTCACCCAGTTGGCTTTTATGGCTAAGGCAGGACTAGAGCTTACCATCTCCTGGTGATTGATCCACAGTCACCCAGCTGGCTTTTATGACTATGGTGGGACTAGGATTCATCATCTCCTGGCGATTGGCTCAAAGTCTCCCAGCTGGCTTTCATGTCTAAGGTGGGACTAGAACATCATCTCCTAGTGATTGGCCCAAAGTCTCCCTGCTGGCTTTCATGCCTAAGGTGGGACTAGAACTCACCGACTCCTGGTGATTGGCCCAAGATTACCCACCTGGTTTTTCATGCCTAAGGAGGGACTAGAACTCCGTCTCCTGGTGATGAACCCAAAATCACACAGCTGGCTTTCATGCCTAAGACTAGACTAGAATTCACTGTCTCCTGCTGATTGGGCCAAATTCACACAGCTGTTTTTTATGCCTAAAGTGGGATTAGAACTCAGGGTCTCCTGGTGATTGTCCCAAAATCAATTAGCTTTCATGGCTAAGCTGGAACTTGAACTCATGGTCTCCTGCTTTCTAGCCTGGTGCCTTAACCACAAGACCAAACTGGCTCTATGTGTGTTACAACATGCGGAAGCAGTGACCAAGGTGTGTGCAGAATGGAGCATTGTCCTCTTGACTTCTCCTTCCTTGCCACAGAGCGCAAAGTGGAGATCACCAAACATCTGCAGGATGTGGAGGTTGACGAAGAGAGCTCGGCCTCCTTCTCCTGCGAGTTGTCTGAGGATTGTGAGGATGTCGAATGGTTCCTCAATGACACTCATCTCTTCCCCAACAACTTCAATGAGATAAAGCATTTGGGGAAGTCCCACAGCCTGACGCTGAAGCACGTCACGCCAGAAGACAGCGGGACAATGACCGTCAAGGTTCAGAAGAAAATCTCTGAGAGCATCCGGCTGAAGGTGAAAGGTGAGTCTCTACTTCTACCAGCATTTCTGAGGTCTGAGGAGGTAGCTTGGTGGCCTTGAGATATCCTGTTTCCATCTTGGCAGATGAAATCCATGGGCAAACCTCAAAGCCATTGGAGAGCTTCAGGCAGTTGGGGCCCTTGGTGCTTTCTGAGCATGGTTGTTTTCTTGAAGACGTTTCATGGCCCAGTTAGGTAGCATCATCAGTGCTAGGAGGGAGTATGGTTTGCGGAGAGGAGGAGGAGGGAGAGGGGGAGGAGGGGGAGGAGAACAGGAAGAAGAGGAGGAGGAGAGGGATTATGGGGTCCTCAATGCTCTCTAAGCTTGGTTATTTTCTTGAAGACATCTCATTACCCAACTACGTAATATCAGTGCTAGAAGGGAGTGAGGTTTATTCTCTGTTGGTCCTTGACTAAGCTGTTGTTTACTCTTTGATTGTTTCTCTGCATTTGTTTATTTATTAGATGTGTGCCCTGCTTATCCCCTCTAGAGTCGGTAGTTCCTTGATTGGGCAGTTGTTTATGGCCTGGTTGTTGTTCTAGTGACAACCTTGGTGTCAATCTCTGCTTCTCAGGCCCATCATGCTGCCCCTTCTCCACACTCATTTTTTTAAATCTTCTTTCCCATCTAGAGATGTTCTGAAGAACTAAAAATGCCAGGTAACTCCTGGCTTTCCTGTCCTCTGGATTGCCCCTTATCTATTAAAATCACTGTGTGTGTGTGTCTGTGCACGTGCGCGCACATCTGTAAATATGCTGATATACATACATATACTACGGGTAGTCCTTGACTTACGACCACAGCTGAGTTCCACGTTTCCGTTGCTAAGTGAAACATTTGTGAAGTGAATTTTGCCCCATTTGACGACCTTACTTGCCCCAGTTGTTAAGAGAATCACTGTAGATGTTAAGTTAATAACACGGTTGTTAAGTGAATCTGGCTTGCCCATTGATTCTGCTTGTCAGAAAGTCGCAAAAGAGGACTCCACATGACTCCAGGACACTGCAATTGTCATAAATATGAGTCAGCTGCCAAACATCTGAATTTTAATCACATGACCATGGAGATGCTGCAACGGTCGTAAATGTGAAAACGGCCATAAGTTACTTTTTGCACTGCCATTCTAACTCCGAACTGTCAGTGAACGAATGGCAAAATTTATTGCTGAATACATCTGGGACCGTTCAGGTACACACCATATTTGCTCATCTTTTTGCACAATCTCATTTGAACGTTTTTCACACTTACGATCCCCATGGTCACGGGATCAAGATTCAGATATTTGTCAACTGGCATATATAGATAGTCCTCGACTTACAACAATTCATTTAGTGACCATTCAAAGTTACAATGCCACTGAAAAAAGTGACATGACCATTTTTCACACTTACGATCGTTGCAGCATCTCATGGTCATGTGATCAGAATTTGGATGCTTGGCAACTGGTTCATATTTATGACAGTTGCAGTGTCCCAGGGTCATTTGATCCCCTTTTGGGGTCTTTTGATGAACAAAGTCAATGCCGGATTCATTTAACCGCTGTGTGATTAACTGAACAACTGCAATGATTAACAACTATGGCAAAACAGGGCAAAATTCTATTAACAAATGTCTCAGCAATGAAAATGTAGGCTCAATTGTTATCATTATTATTATTTTATTATTATTTATTTGATTTGTATCCCGCCCTTCTCCTCACCGGACTCAGGGCGGCTGACAGCCTTATAAAACAACATTACAAAAAATATCAATATTAAAACCAGATTAAAAGAAAATATTTGTAAAGGCCTAGTCGTTAAAATTACCCTTAAAAACCCCACTAAAATTCCCTAGGCCAATCCCGCTTGTTGGAAAAGCCATGTCTTTAGGGCGCGGCGGAAGGAGGGGAGATCCGGGATCACCCGGATCTCTGGGGGTAGTTCGTTCCAGAGGGTGGGGGCT